TCAATTCTGATTGGCTGGCAGGTATGCATTAAAACGGTTTAATGCACAGGTAGTTCCAAGTCAGTTTAATCACTATTTTATATTAATGCGCTACTTTAATTGATTCACACAAACACACACATCACTCACACACAAACACACACACACACACACACACACACACACAGAGAGAGAGAGGTGGGTGATTCTTGGCCTCCACGTTGTGCATTAAAATTGTTTAATGCACAGCTAGCTGTGTATTATCCCTTACATATTTTTTGTGCTTTCATCTCACTGCACTGTGTAAATCATTTGTACGCTATCATTTTTTAGGAGCAATAAGAGGGATGCTGTTCAAAAAACAAGGAATGGGAGGCAGTGTGTGATTGGATTACATGGAATTCATTACTGTCAAATGTTAACTTTGTTTTTGACCTACATATTTACAGGGTTACCTCACATTAATGCTGCCAAGATATTTGATTTGCTTATTAAAAACAAAAAACAAACAAAAAATTTTGAGTCTTACTGTGGGTGCCATTAGAGATTTTGTTTTGGCTCATGAGATTTGATGATTAAGATGCTGATGAACTGTAATCTTTTATTTTATATGTTTAACACTTTGTTTTTCTGTGGGTGTGGATTTGGCAGTGTCTATCTAATTTATCCAGTTTGTTTCTTTTGTAAAACAGATTGCGTTCTCCTGTGTCATGGATAAATATCTCTTTGTGTGTGTTTATTGTAGGCTTTCAAGGAAAAATTCACACAACAATGAAAATTTTATCATCATTAAACACCCTCGTGTCATTCCAAACCCGTATGACTTCCTTTCAGAGCCGCTCTTTTCAATGAAAATAGATGGTGACTTAGGGTTCAGAGACAAACTCTGAATATCTTTGTTTGTGTTTCACAGAAGAAAGAAATTAATACAGGTTTGGACAGATATGAGGTTGAATAAATGGTGTAAAAATGTGAACTATTTCTGTAACCGACAGTGGAATGTCAAAGAGTAGCATCAGTGCTTTCAGATCAGACGTGGAATTTGTGGATGTGCGTTCACGACAGTACTATGACGCGAGCGTGTGGCGGCGCTGACCCAAATCCCTCATTCTGTATATCATCAAAAATATCTTAAATTGTGTTCTGAAGATGAACGAAGGTCTTACGGGTTTCGAACAACACGAGGGTGAGTAATTAATGACAGAATTTTCATTTTTGGGTGAACTAACCCTTTAAGGCATCCAATATTAAAACAACCATTGAAACAGTCACCGTATTGATCAGTCTATTGATTATTGTTATAATCATACATCATATTTTCGAGTAAAATATCACTACAGTGACAGGGGACCACGCTGTAAATGCAATCAAAACAGCACAGTATAGTGCCTGTTAGCTATGTATGTGTAGGTTATAAATAAGATCTGTCAATGCTTGATGAAAGCATTTGATACAGTCACTTTGATTTTGGCTTATGAGTTCATTAAATCTTTGAATGAGTTTTAAGGTCATTGTAAAGTGTCACTTACAATTACACACATTTCAGTTAGGCTTCTACCAAGGCAATTTATAACACTACACTTAAAAAAAAACACACACACATCTGGCTTTGAAACAATTTTCACTCGAAAACAAGAACCAGCAAGTAATACATAGACTTAAACTTGATTTTTTTCTTTCGGAGTAAAAAAGTCTAAAATAGTATTTTCTGGATCTTGATTTTCAAGCAACTTCAATGATCTTTGTTTTATTTACAATTTATGTACAACTTATTAAAATATTTTTTTGAAGTGTAAAGGTTTTTGACTTTAAATATTTACAGACTAACAGTCCAACTTTAGAATGCTTTGTATTTTAGACATTAATGAACATATCATCACCGTTTAGACAAAAGGGTAAAACCCAACAGATAAAAGTTGCAAGTTAACTGCCCTTGATTTTCATTCATCTTGATTTTTGATCTCGATTTTTTTTTTAAAGAAATGAAAAATTTAATTTAGCAGAGATGTGTTAAATTGATCACAAGTGATAAAACTTAAAAACTTTTACATTGTTCAAATACATTTCTATTCATCAAAGAAACCTGGAAAAAATAGCAGTTTCCACAAAAATATTAAGCAGCACAACTGTTTTGACATTGGTAATAATAAGAAATATTTCTTAAGCAGCAAATCAGCATATTAGAATGATTTCTAAAGGATCATGTGACACTGAAAACTGGAGTAATGATGAGGAAAATCCAGCATCATTGAATAAATTACAGTAAAATAGAAGTTATTTTAAATTGTAACAACATTTCACAGTATTACTGTGAATCTGGACAGTGAGAAGTAAAATTACATTTTAAGTGCTTTTCCAGCTTCATTAAAAAGGAAAGTAGTGTTATGTCCTGCTTATTCTTTGCTCTGATTCCCACTTGAATGTACAGTACTTGTGACTACAGGGGAATACAGTTCTGTGAAGGTTCAGTCAACCACATGTAGTTGTATCAAATTGTAATTAATTGCTGCTGTCAAAATCCAAAAAGTCCACCGTATTTACTTAGCATAAGACAGCATAAGAGACTTCTTTCAAAAAAACAATTTAAAAAAATATCAATTTTATTCAAATGCAATTAATGCATTCTCAGTTGTTTGAGAGTAAAATGCTAAAATATGGGACAAACGGCATCCTATATGAATTTAAGGGGTCAGTTCTGCCTTATGGCTTTATATTCTAGTTTCATGATTTTAACATTTCTTTCTTCCCATTTAAGGATTCGTCTAGTTTTCTTCTAGATGACCAGAGCTGCTTGGTTCTCGCTCTTTCTCTGTTTTTTACTTTCATGGAGACCATGGGAAAGGTGCAACATGTGTAAATGCTATGAGTGCTCTCTCCCTGAAGCATTATTCATCTAGTCCACCTTTCTGTTGTTCAAGCATTCTCATCTCTATCTCCAGCAGTTAACAGGAGGTGTTTCACATTCGTCTGAAGAGTATTCATGTTCAGCTCGCTCCCCGCGGAAGTCAGCCGCACAGCTCCCATGTGCATCCCATGGGCCCTCGATCCTAATTAACCGAGACCTAGAGCTCTGACGCTCTGTTGTGCTTCGGACTGACGTGTACAAAGGGCTAGCGTTGCCCCACTAGAGCCCTGACAGCCTCTTGTTTGATGGGCTTGTGTTTAGACAGACTCGGCTATGGCTAATTACGTTTTCCTAATGACAGGCACAGGATGTATTTCCATGGTAGCAGCTTTGAGCAATTTTAGCTTGTTACTGGAACTCGGCGAATATTTGTTATGATAACATGTCGCATTTCCTGCGCCGGTCGGGCTTCCTACGTAAGACTGAGCAATAACAGTCGCTATTCTTTCTGTCGCATTCATTTCTCAGGAAAAGCTTATTTATTTAATCTTATGCTGGTTACTTAAGGTAATTCAGCGTTGAATACTGGCTTTCTCTCCAATTGAGCGAGGGCAGGATGAGTCACGGCACTATGAGAAAATGAGCAAGTGACTGTGGAGAGGTTTTCTTGCTTTCTGTCTGCACGTACTCGTAAACAGCACCTTCAGTTCAGAACATCACACTGGTGTGGAACTACATTTGGGTTTATTGGTCGAATGTCACGAAAATAAGTACATTTTACCAAAATTGGAAAGATATTTTATGCTACTTTATATAAAAGTATAAAGTTATTTTATACTACTACAGTACTGTTAATAGATAGATAGAGAGGGGGAGAGAGAGATCTATTGCATAAATAAAATAATGCATATTTTATCAGCATATTTTTTCTGATTCTCACTATTGTAATCAATATTTTTTACACCAAATTACAACCATGATGGGAAAATACTTTATAATGTAAATTATATAATTGTTGTATTAATTTAATAATTATTATTATTTATTAGTCTATTAAAGTAATGAGAATATTTTTCATCTCTTTCTCTCACACACTCTATCTAATATTTTTCAGGGCCATTAAGATTTTTTTTTATTACTGTAACCTATTTATTTATTTTTTTTACATTAAATACAACCATGTGTAAATACTTTATAATGTATAATATATAATTAATTAATTAATTAGTTGTTTATTTAGTATTTGAAGTTTATTATATTAATGAAAATATTTTTCATCTCTCTCTTTTTCTCACTACACCCACCCACACACACACACACACACACACACACACACACATATTTCTTAATGAATAAAATAAAACCTATTTTAGATTTTTGTTTTTGTTTTGAGGGTTCATTGTTACATTCAGGGTTCACATAAAAATGGGCTTCATTTTCTAGAAGGAATATACATACATGCATATTTTATGTATATATTTATTTATTTGATAGGTGTGACATGTGACTGGGACATATTCCTGGTTTTGTGAGACGCACCCTATTACAACCCACATGCGGAGCCAAAAATGTAACCCCTAAATATTGTATTCTTAATCTTTACACATCAGTTATTGCACATTCCAGCAATTGTAACACCTACCAACACACGTTTGAATGTAGGCTGCAGCCTCCTATGGGTTTTCTTACCTTGTACTTCTGATTTCCACTGATGTTTTCTGATACTGTCACTAGAGCACAGATGCCCTGTTGACCGATATAGGTCGACCACATGCAGATATAGGTCGACCAGACTATAGGTTTTCAATTACCGAAGCTGATATCAATAGAACAGTGTTGACAGATGACATGATTTAATGATGATAGACCTATATCTGATCAAATGAGGTGTGCACAGAATTACTGAAATTCTGTCTCATTTTTCTTTATTTATTTACTTTGTTTTACTATTTGCAATATTTATTCAGAATTCTATATTTAAAACAGAAAAATAAATATTTTTAAACAATTCCTTTAAAAAAAAAAAACGGCAACCAAATAGCTAGATTGCACACTCTTCAACTGCATATACTAACATATAATATTTGTCTTGGTACAGGTCATGCTGTAGGCTCTTCACAGCAGCTGCTGTAAGCTCTTTGTAATAATATCCTCTGTGAAAATACTTGTTCTCCAGGCGGCTTCTGGACACAGAGGATGAGCTCAGTGATATCCAGGCAGACTCTGTGCCCATGGAGGTGCGAGATTGGCTGGCCTCCACCTTCACCAGGAAGATGGGAGTGGTACGCAGACGGCCTGAAGAGAAGCCTCGGTTCCGCAGCATCGTTCACGCCGTTCAGGCTGGGATCTTTGTTGAACGGTATCTATTCTGTTGTTATCTAAGAGTTGGTATGTTCACCATAATCAGAAATGATTTATAATTATGTTCAACATGACCAAAGTGATTCTGATTGTGATTTATGCTAAATTAATAATTCTCAGTAACAATTTACCCAAAATCTCATGAAAATATTTATTGAAGGGTTCTGATATAGTTCACCCAAAAATGAAATTTCTGTCACCACTCGTGTCGTTCTAATATCGTTTGAAGAATGCTGGTAATCAAACAGTTTCGGTTCCCACTGACTTCCATTTTATGGACATAAAATACAATGGAAGTCAATGGGAACTGAAACTTCTTGGTTACCAACATTCTTCTAAATATCATCTTGTGTTCAGCAGAAGAAAGAAATTCATACAGGTTTGGAAGGACATGAGGGTGAGTACATGATGACAAGATTTTCATTTTTGGATGGACTGTCCTCTTTGGACTATAAATTAAGATATCTAATTTTGACAAAGCCAGCTTTGCATGTACTGTTTGCGGAAAAGGCAATCCCAGAATGCATTGCCCCAAACTTAGGGAACAAATTAATCTAGCATGGCAGATGAACTGAGAAAAATGTCAATATACATACATTTCATTAAGTGCTGAAAACTATGAGTAAAGTTCATTTTATTTAGTTTGCATCATTTTTAATATTTAATATGTATACATAATATATATTTTATTTATAATTAATTTAAAATGTTAACGTTTTAAAATTTATTTGTAATATCTTTAATTAGCATTTCATGTTGTTGGATGAGAAACATGCTACCATTAACCTTTATAGAAAGAATGTGGAGTGTTCTAATTCAGTTAACTTGGGTTCCATCTCGAACAAGATATTTCCTTTGAAGGCAGCTGCCTATGTAGACTGTAGACATCAAGGCAGCTCACTAGGTTTTGAGACAGAGCCTTTGTTTTAACATTTAATGTGCTGCTGCTAAGTGAGTTTAAATCATACAGACAGTCCAATTTCACAGACCTGCCCGTTTTTTTTCTGCTAACTGGGAAAATGGTTTAAGGGTTAAGGGTTTGTTCTGCATAATCTTTTTCAATAACTGAAAATGAATGTCTCGATCCATTTCATTTGCATTGCGGCCGTCCTCTCTGTGGCATGTACCCTCAGGTCTGAGTAATACGCACAAACCGCCTCCCTCTTACATGGGCAGAGCTCCTCATTTCCATGGAAACTCGTTCAGAATGTCATAGACACCTGTTGAGCTTGAAGCACTGATCATCAGGTGCTGTGTGATATCGAACGCATGTTAGGGGCTCTCTTAATGATACAAGACATCCAAATTATCCAAAATATTTGTTAGTCTGAGGTATAAAAGTGTAAACCAGCTGTTCAGAAATATGAGCCTAAATTGTATTAATTATAATGTGATTATTTACATAGTGGCAAGAAAATTAAAGCAGCATAATATAATATTATTGTACATTTTTGTATTATTTTATCAGACAAGATGGAATTATTTATTTATTATGATGCCACTTCCTGGAGGATTATGTCATTATGGAACTGTATAATAATATATTGTAATAAAAAGGATATTACAAAAGACTAGTGCTAGATGCCATATCATGATTAGGCTATTTATTTAAAATTCACGTCAATTGTGATTTTGTGATCAAATAAAATCATTTCATATGATTTCAGTCTTTAGCATTTGTGAGTTTATTATTTTACTCTATATATTAAGACAGAATGGAGACGTAAAAATGTTCTGCATAGTGTGAACCTGTTCATTTCCCATTATTGGGATTTATGAGCGAGAGCCGAGTTAATAAGAACACTAGAACATTATGTACTATTATTTTGGAATCTGGACAGTGAGAAGTAAAATGACATTTTAAGTGCTTTTCCAGCTTCATTAAAAAGGAAAGTAGTGTTATGTCCTGCTTATTCTTTGCTCTGATTCCCACTTGAATACATATCATGATTAGGCTATTTATTTAAAATTCACGTCAATTGTGATTTTGTGATCAAATAAAATCATTTCATATGATTTCAGTCTTTAGCATTTGTGAGTTTATTATTTTACTCTATATATTAAGACAGAATGGAGACATAAAAATGTTCTGCATAGTGTGAACCTGTTCATTTCCCATTATTGGGATTTATGAGCGAGAGCCGAGTTAATAAGAACACTGGAACATTATGTACTATTATTTTGGAATCTGGACAGTGAGAAGTAAAATGACATTTTAAGTGCTTTTCCAGCTTCATTAAAAAGGAAAGTTTTAGTGTTATGTCCTGCTTATTCTTTGCTCTGATTCCCACTTGAATGTACAGTACTTGTGACTACAGGGGAATACAGTTCTGTGAAGGTTCAGTCAACCACATGTAGTTGTATCAAATTGTAATTAATTGCTGCTGTCAAAGTCCAAAAAGTCCAGTGTTGTTTCTGCAGTTTTATTCTTGTATGTAATATCCTCTCCTCTTTGTCTCTTAAACGCTTTAAAAAGAACACAAAAAAGAATCCTTACAAAAAATATAAATGTACCCTACTGTATATTACTTAAGCACTTTATTCAAAGTCTTCTGAAAGCATAAAATAACTTTGTGTGAGAAAAGACTGAAAGGTAAATCGTCATTCACTGGTAATCACTGAATCAGTTCAAGATCATTGAATCAGTTCGGTATTAAGGAGTTCTCTATTACTGATTCAGTCTGATTCAATGATTCGGTCTTGTTAACCAGACCAAATTATTCATTAAAAAGATCCGACTCAAATAATGATTCATTCACAAATCATTCATAATGGTGCCCAGGGTCTCAAGATTTGCAGTGAATAACAACTTAAATTATAATCCGCTCCATTGACCAAAAGTAATTTTTTGTCATTAAAAGACTTGAGTTGCATGAGTTAAATTAACTAGTTTTATAATATGTTTATGGTTCTTTTGCTTGATTTTTGAAGCCTGAAAGCTTCAGTCTTCATTCTTTGTGACTGCATAGAAAAGAATAACACGCTCATCAAATAATCTTTTTGTTTGCATTCAATGGAAGAAAGAAACTCTTACAGGTTTGAAACAGCATGAAAGTGAGTTGTTATATGAACTATTTCTATAATATATTATGATTTCATCCTTTTGGAATCACACTTTTTTTCTTAACCAAAGTTTTAACCAAAGTTGACGATGTCTCCGAAGCATGCATGTTTTTTCCCTGTAACAGGATCAAAAAGAACACACAAAAAATAATCATTACAAAAAATATAAATGGACCCTACTGTATATTACTTAAGCAATTTATTCAAAGTCTTCTGAAAGCATAAAGTAACTCTGTGTGAGAAAAGACTGAAAGGTAAATCGTCATTCACTGGTAATCACTGAATCAGTTCAAGATCATTGAATCAGTTCGGTATTAAGGAGTTCTCTATTACTGATTCAGTCTGATTCAATGATTCGGTCTTGTTAACCAGACCAAATTATTAATTAAAAAGATCCGACTCAAATAATGATTCATTCACAAATCATTCATGATGGTGCCCAGGGTCTCAAGATTTGCAGTGAATAACAACTTAAATTATAACCCGCTCCATTGACCAAAAGTTATTTTTTGTCATTAAAAGACTTGAGTTGCATGAGTTAAATTAACTAGTTTTATAATATGTTTATGGTTCTTTTGCTTGATTTTTGAAGCCTGAAAGCTTCAGTCTTCATTCTTTGTGACTGCATAGAAAAGAATAACACGCTCATCAAATAATCTTTTTGTTTGCATTCAATGGAAGAAAGAAACTCTTACAGGTTTGAAACAGCATGAAAGTGAGTTGTTATATGAACTATTTCTATAATATATTATGATTTCATCCTTTTGGAATCACACTTTTTTTCTTAACCAAAGTTTTAACCAAAGTTGACGATGTCTCCGAAGCATGCATGTTTTTTCCCTGTAACAGGATATTTATATGTGATATACATCTGATATGAGTAATCTGACATTTTCCATCTGCGCTCTTTCTTGGTTTTTCACTATTGTGTCAGCTCTCATCACTTCTTACCCTTTTCACAAGCACGGTGATGACAGACTCTAAACTCACACACACACACACACACACACACACACACACACACACACACACACACACAAACAAGTGACGCATATTGCCTGTGTTTGGGTTTAGGTGGTCAGGTATGGAGTCCCTGCGCTTCATGTGATTACACATGGATATTACGCTTCTGCAAATGGGTCCCTCACACTTCGGTTGCCTGTAACATGGTCCATTCATCTGTTGTGGCAGGAAATTTAAGGCCCTTAGACTGCAGCCTGAAAGCACATTCTGTGTCCAGTTCCATTAAAAAAAGGAATTTTCAATTTTTTTCTGTTTTAGTAATATTAGTACTTTTTTTAGTAAGTTTAGGTATCTTAAACTTATTTTAGTTAGGTGACATGACATGTAGCTAAGTATGGTGTCCCATACTTGGAATTTGTGCCCTACATTTAATCCATCCAAGTGCACACACAGCCGTGAGAAGTGAACACACACACACACACACACACACAGAGCAGTGGGCAGCCATTTTTTTTAGCAGTTGGGGGTTTGGTGCCTTGCTCAAGGGTCTCACCTCAGCACCTCAGCATTTTTTTTAGCAGTTGGGGGTTTGGTGCCTTGCTCAAGGGTCTCACCTCAGTCGTGGTATTGAGGGTGGAAGAGAGCACTGGTCATTCACTCCCTCCACCTACAATCTCTGCCGGACCTGAGACTTGAACCCGCAACCTTTGGGTTACAAGTCCGACTCTCTAACCATTAGTTACTTTTCATTGCAACATTTTCATCTACTAATTTGCTTTACTTCTGTTTTTATATTATATTTAGTTTTAATAATAAAAAAAAATGTTTAAGATTCTTAACAATATCAGCGTCAGTATATTTTAGTACAGCGTTCCATCCACCTTGGTGAAAGAATACAGATGTTCAAGACAGTGCTTCCAAGCCCAAAAAAAAAATAGATGTACTGTATGGTTGTGAGTTTGCAGTCTAAATTTAATGTCATGATGAAGGAACATAGGGTGCAAAAAGACTCACAAATCACTGAAACATGACAAAGAAAAAAATACATGAAAACATGAAAAAAAAAACATGAAAGGTTGTTTTTTGCTTCAAGGTAAAAAAAAAAAAGTCATTGTGAGAGAAAGTTTTAAATAAATGTAAACTAACTAAATAAATAAATAATTAAAGTTATTTTACAATAAATATTGTGGAAATATTAGGTTGCAGTTATGAGATATAAAGTCACAATTACGATAAATTAAGATAAATAAAATTGCAGTTGTGCAGTTTACAATAAAATTGTCAAAATGATAAGAATTACATTTGCAGTATTTGTGTTCAAGACTCAGATCATTTGATTCAATTCAGTTGCAACTAATGCATTAGTTGCAATTGATTGACTGATTCAATGAAACAAGTTATTTTGTACAGTCATGTCTGGCTCGAGATATGGATAAAGCTGTAAATGATTTACTTACTCCTGATATGTTGGCTGATACTTAAATCAGTGTAGTTACTATCTAGTTCATCTGACAACATGTACGCTACACGTCAGTTTGGGGTCTGTAAGATTTTTTCATTGTTTTAAAAAAAAGACTATTATGCTCACAAAGGCTGCATTTATTTGATTAAAAATGCAGTAAAACCAATAATATTGTGAATTATTATTACAATTTAAAATAACTGTTTTCTATTTGAATATATTTTTCACAAAAAATTACAATTCTTACTGACACCAAACTTTTGACTGATAGTGTAGTTAAAGTTTTGTTGTACTCTAGTTTTGTAACTGTGATTGTTGTTCTTTGTGCAGATACCAGTGTCCTCCTTGGTGTCATTTGTGGAAGCTCTGGAAATGGGCTACAGCAAGCACAGAAACCCCTACCACAATTTGATCCACGCTGCTGATGTCGCGCAGACGGCACACTATCTGATGCTACACACTGGCATTATGGTGAGTGAGCGCTCAGTGAATTGTGCATGCATGTCTTGCACAGACAAACAAATATGACATCTGTTTGTAATCAATACGAGCTGAACGCTTGAGGTCTTAACTTGCAGGTTAATATGCGCAGCTGTTGAAATTCATTTTGATGATGTTGAATCATGGCAATGATGATTATTTGGTTAACGGCTGTCTGGTTTGCTCTCCTACAGCACTGGCTCTCTGAACTGGAAATATTGGCCATGGTGTTTGCAGCTGCAATCCACGACTTTGAACACACTGGAACGACCAATAACTTCCACATTCAGACCAGGTGTGTGGTGACCATAAGAAGCAGCCAGTGGTTTCAATGAAGTGTCCCAATTTAAATAAAACTGCCTTAAAGGAATAGTTCACCCAAAAATTTTAATTTTATCACCCTCAGGTCATCCAGCATGTTAATGAGTTTATATCTTCACAGGAACAGGTTTGGAGAAATTTAGCATTACATCACTCGCTCAACAATGGATCCTCTGCAGTGAATGGGTGCCGTCAGAATGAGAGTCCAAACAGGTCACCTTAATGATGGATTTGTTTCTTACAAACACACAGCTTTTCACAAGATGTTAACTGATGGACTGGAGTTGTGTGGATTACTTGAGAATTATTGTGATGTTTTTATCAGCTGTTTATACTTTCATTCTGATGGCACCCATTCACTGCAGAGGTGAGCAATGCTAAATGCAAAATTTTTCCGAATCTGTTCTGATGAAGAAACAAGCTCAGCTATGTTGTGGATGGCCTGAGGATGAGACAATTTTCAGCAAATTTTCATTTTACAGTGAACTTTTCTTTTAATGATGGACAGTGTCTTTGTATGAAGGTACCTGCTATGGAAACTAGCTTCAGACTGGCTTTCAAAGACACCTGCATCTACAGCAAATTCTATGATCTAGACATAAGGAAGCTAATATTTAGTAACTAAAATGCTTGTTTCTTTGTGTAAATGAAATCATAAGATGAATATTTCATAAATTATATTGAACTATTTGTATTTTTTTATTTGTAATTTTTTTTATTAACTTTTTTAATATTTTCTGTTATTCATAAATATTCAGGTGAAAGATCAGTGATATTTCCTGGGTTCATCGGTTGTTTCGGGTCTTTCAACAGCATACACCCTCACCCAAGTGATCCAGCCGGGGGGTGATCAAGCCCTGACCTGCCTCCCAGTAGCGTTTGGTCACGGATCACCCCTTTTCCTTTCACTTTTCCTTTCGAATGCCTCCTCCATTCGATCTTCCCAAAGCACAGTCAATTCTATCAAAACTAGCGGTTTCGAAACCTCAGATAGAATGATGATGTCAGGTCACAAAGATGTTTCTGCGATGTGTGCTGGGAATTTCAGCTGCTTCTCCAGGTCAACCAAAAGCTGACAGTCCCGTGCTGCGTGAAGAAGGCCTGCTGGAGCTTTGTTCTGTGGTGTTGGCTGCTCTCCTTTTTTCACAAACCGTATTTCCTTCCTAGCTCGGTGATGGTGCTTACTGCTTGCAATGGCCTGCAAAAGTGCTACTTATATATATTTTTACTATTTATACAAATAAAACTTTATGGCAAAGTATTAAAATTGTATTAACATTTGTAAAATATTTATAATATTTGAATTTATTTTTAATATTTTTAATCTTTAATCTTGAATGGATTGTTTTTAAAGCAAGCTTGTTGCAATCCATTTGCATTGTTACAAATGTGATGCTTGCTTAAAATTTTGCCATATGAAGTTGTCTTAAAAACATAATGATGCTACCTACCATATGTAACAGTGATTGCATCCGGAGCATGTCTATGATGCATTAAAATGCTGCTTACGTAGGCAGCTTACTAGGTTTTGGACCACAGCCTAGTGTGAAAGCCAAAGAGAGTGTGTGTGTGTGTGTAGTAGAGAGAGATAATACACTGGTCACATTCTAACACAGTTTATCTTCCTTCTGGTCGGCTATTGCGGAGCTGAGAGCAGAATTGATAGTGTTTTCTATTAATCTTCAGTGGCAGAAACTTACGTCAGAATCTGCACTCATTTTGGTGCAGCTCTGTGTTGGTTCACATCAGGCAGGACATCTTATTCACATTAATACATGCCAAAGGATCCTTGAGATCCTTTTACAGCAAAAGGCCTTATTTTGCGTGACAGCCCATGACAGATGTCATTATTCTGAGAAGTGCATCACAGCATTAGCTTTTGCAGCAGACAGAAACCGATGGCAAGGACAGTACTCCAAAATACAGTGTTTTTGGAGGAACGCTCGATCATCAGTGAGTTGTGGGAGACGAGACTTGTGTGATGGGAAAAATGGAGCCATTACTCTCGATATACTGATGTTCAACCTCAGCTTGTAGTTCTCAAATTTACTCCTCGCGAGAATGAAAAGTAAAAGCCTTGGTGAGCATAAGAGGCTTTTTTTTCAAAACCAATAAAAAAAATCGTACTCCAAACTTTTGAAACTTGTGGTGTACAAGTTCTTTATTTTACAATATACAGCAGGTTCTTCACATTAGCATAAGGTTTCTGGGTTCTTCAAAACTCTAGCACATTTCTAATGAAGTAGTGAATAAAATAAAATATTTTTAACTCTTCAAAGCCACAGGCCTTTGTTCTTGCATGGAACACAAAAGAATTGTCCAATCTGCTTATTTTCATAAAAAAAAAACAGGTGAACAGGGCTGTTGAGCTTCAAAGTTACAAAAATTGCATTCGTATATTTAAACTGGCGTGACAAAATGTGCCATTGACATTAATTGACCCCTAGCCCCAATTATTTTCATAACCAACGTTATGAATATGTAAAATTTTGAATATGTACAAGTGCTGCTGAGATCACAAATCTTGTGTTAAATTTAAAAACAGCTCTTTTTGATCTGTCATGCCAAGTTTGACATCCGTGATGCCAAATTAGTTCTTGTGCGTCACATGACTGGTTACAACTTGACAGGTTTGAACAACCGAGGGCAATATTTTCAGCCAAAATGGCTTTGAAATTGACGTCATTTCTACACGCCAAACTTCAGAAGACTTGAAAGGTACTGTATGAGTCATATGATCTACTTTTATGTTGTGTTTATGGTGCTTTTTGTCCTTTTTGAAGCTTGGCAGCCCCTGGTGACAATACGCTTTCATAAATAACATCTTTTGTGTCCCACGAAAGAAATGGAATGACGTAAAAGTGATTAAATGATGATGAAATTTTCCGTTTTTGGGTGAACTAACCTTCAAGGTACTACAAAGTCATTGGACATTTTTTTGACTCCTCTTTCTTTGGTCCTGCACAGATCAGAAGTGGCCATCCTGTACAATGATCGCTCGGTTCTGGAAAACCACCACGTGAGTGCAGCCTACAGACTCATGCAAGAAGATGAGATGAACATCCTGGTCAACCTCTCGAAGGATGACTGGAGGTATGCTGGGGTTTGTCTCTCAACGCTGGCTTTATGTCCTCGGACATGCCTTTCCTGTGAGGAATGGAGGATCTGTTCTGGGAAATTGCATGTGCTGTGAGTTGTGATGACCCACTGTGTTGTGTTTCCCACAGGGAGCTGCGTACGCTGGTGATCGAGATGGTCATGAGCACAGATATGTCCTGCCATTTCCAGCAGATCAAGACGATGAGGAACGTACTACAGCAGCCGGAGGGGTGAGTGACGCTCCTGCTGTTCTCTCATGAGCGTGTGTGAACATGAGGGCGATAATGAATGAGTGTGATAGTGTGTCGCCTTATGAAAATGTGTCATACTTCTTGAGTAGTTCCCATTAGGACTGGGTGGTATGAGATATATACTGAGTGATGAAATAAATGCATCAAGACTAGAGACTTCTATTCATTCATTAGTTATGAATTATTTTATGTTTTGTTTTGTGTCCATTAAGCTCCAAACAGAATCAGTCGATACAGGTCATTAACCAGGCTCATAAGATTATTAACTAAAATAACTACTGTAGAACTCCAGGGTCTGTTTTCCTAGTTTATAGGAAAAAGGCATTTCAGATCTATGAGGACATTTATTCTCTCCAGTTTGCGTTTCAAATGCATCCTTTTGATGCAAGAAATCCTTAGTTCTGTTGGTAGAAATGATTTTTAACAGGACTTTTTAAATAGAGTAATTTATTTTAAGGCTCTTGATGTCTTAAATTTTATTTGACATTTAAAGTTTTTGTGCCAGAGACAAATTTACATTATATGCTAAATTGACTGGATAATAAACTGTAAAGTGAATATACACTACCATACAAAAGTTTGGGATTAGTAAGATTTTCAAATGTCTCTTATGCTGCATTTACATGCTCAAAAACAGAGTAAAACCCCATAATATAGTGAATTTTTGTTTTGTGTCCATTAAGCTCCAAACAGAATCAGTCGGTTATACAGGTCATTAACCAGGCTCATAAGATTATTAACAAAAATAACTACTGTAGAACTCCAGGGTCTGTTTTCCTAGTTTATAGGAAAAAGGCATTTCAGATCTATGAGGACATTTATTCTCTCTAGTTTGCGTTTCAAATGCATCCTTTTGATGCAAGAAATCCTTAGTTCTGTTGGTAGAAATTATTTTTAACAGGACTTTTTAAATAGAGTAATTTATTTTAAGGCTCTTGATGTCTTAAATTTTATTTGACATTTAAAGTTTTTGTGCCAGAGACAAATTTACATTATATGCTAAATTGACTGGATAATAAACTGTAAAGTGAATATACACTACCATACAAAAGTTTGGGATTAGTAAGATTTTCAAATGTCTCTTATGCTGCATTTACATGCTCAAAAACAGAGTAAAACCCCATAATATAGTGAAATAATATTACAGTTTAAAATAGCTGTTTTCTATATTTTAAAATGTTATTTATTCCTGTGAGTTATTCTAATATGCTGATTTGCTGCTCAAGAAACATTGCTTATTATAATCAATGTTGAAAACAGTTTTGATGCTTATTATTTTTCTGGAAATACATTGTTGTAGTTTAAGTACCTTAATATGTGTTTTTTTTTTTAACTGTATAACTGTAAGATTTTGACCATATATTTTGTATTTGTTATGAAATACATTTGTTATTAGTACTGTTTTTCATGTATTCCTTTAGTGTTGTCTTTTTCCCCCAAACTGACTTAGGTATTAGTAGTGTAAACCTTTTTAGAAATGCTGCTGTTTAAGCTAAAGTATATACTGTATATATGTAGTATGTAGTATTTCTGCCAAACTGCTTATTATTTTTCTGGAAATACATTGTTGTAGTTTAAGTACCTTAATATGTTTTTTTTTTAAACTGTATAACTGTAAGATTTTGACCATATATTTTGTATTTGTTATGAAATACATTTCAAACTTATTCAGGATCTATTTGTATTCTGAGTTTTGGAAGTTGCACTCAGAATCCTGTTGGCTCAGAAATCACGGGTTCATAATGTCTCTGTCTGCGTTGCGTCTCAAGCACAAAGAGGAAAGTTTTATTAGACTATTCACAGGGCTTTGAATCAGTGTGAGTGAGTAATTTTTTCTGATTCTTTTATTGTCTCTGCAGGGTGACAAGGAGGCAGAACTAGGGCTGCCGTTCTCTCCATTATGTGACCGGAAAGCTACCATGATTGCCCAGTCTCAGATCGGTACAGTAGAGCTGACACACACACAAACACACACACACACACACACACACACACACACACACACACACACACACACACAAAAGCACTGATAGCCACTGAGGCCATGTTTGCAACAGCATAGATTATGCATGGAATAGACAGACATTCTGCTACAATTTCCAAAAGGAGCACAGTGCATGCATGTAGTTTGACTTTCCATTTTCGAGGCTGATAAATAAACATCTTAATTTGAGTCATTATTTAATCGGACTACCAAATGTTAGGTGTTAGTGTTAACACTAAAACACATGCTTAACACCTTCAAATACTGTTTTAACAAAACTTTAATATTTATTTAGAATAGGGCTCTCAAGCATTCATTAGTTAACATTAGTTAACTACTTTAGTTAACATGAACTAAGAATGAACAATACTTCTACAGCATTCATTAAACTTAGTTAACGTTAATTTCAACATTTTAAGTAAGTTAAAAATGCTAAATAACTTTTTTGCAACATGATAACTTGATGCCACTTATGAACATCCATGTATTATATGAAAAATTAGCATATTTTGCACAGTATAGGTAATATAATACTATATAAATATTACAGGAGAGAATAGTATCATAGTTACTATGCTGTTGTGAACACATCCATACAGACGTGCCTTTAGTGCCGTCGTGCTCAGCTCTTTACTGCCATCAAGAGGCTGCTGAGGCAATTACATGCTCTTTTGTAATATTTAATGGATCTCATAAAATAAATGTACTTTGATTTAATGACACAATAACTACAGGCATCTTGATTGGATCAAAAGCCATTATTGCTAATGCGTTTCTGGCTAGTTAAATAAATGACAAAGGTTTCTAAACAAGTATTTTTTTCCCTTCAAAGGGTTCATTGATTTTATCGTCGAGCCCACGTTCTCTGTTCTGGTCGACACCACAGAGAAGATCATTAGTCCTCTCATAGAGGAAGCTGTCAAATCTGGGGGTGTCCGCAGGTCAAGGTGAGGTCATGGTCATGCATTCATCATGCTAAAGGTGTTTGATTGAGAGATGATAGTGTGTGTGTAATCTGCTGTTGCGGTGCAGTTTGACGGGTCGGGGCTCAGCCGCGGTGGTGGAGTCGGTACAGAGACACAGCGGTCGGGGTTCGAATGATGAGCAGGGAGGCACTACAGATTACTCACTGGGCGGCATTGAGCTGAAACGAGTCAGACACCTGCTCTCTGAGATCATCCAGAACAACAAGGAGCGCTGGAAAGAGCTGTCTGTTAAAGGTCTGCACACATCTTTTGTGAATATAAAAATTAGAAATATAAAAATAAGAATATTAGGAAAGCTATCAAAAAAACTATGGAAAACACAAATGGAAGAATGGGAATTGTTGTGACCAAAGGTTAAAAAAAAAATATATATATATATATATATATAAACATTAGATTAAAGCTTTTTAAGATTCATGTAAAAAATAACTTTGATCAATTGTCAAGTGTGCCTTGCCTTGCCTAAACAACTGGTGGTGTTTAAGAAGCAAAAGTATTACAAACATGTAGTACAAATGACAGATTATCAAAATAATATATTATTTATTTCACAGTGGGTTTTAAAACACAAAATAAATTTGACTTTGTACCCCACTTTGTTAAAACATATATATACATATTAATATATAAACATTAATATTTCAATACAAAATAAAATATATTGAAAATCTTTACATATTAATATTTAAAATAAAAAACTATTTTATTAAATATTAATAAAGATAATAAATCCAAATATTTTATTATTAAATATTAAAATACACATTGTTTTATGACCGGTACCTGACATAGCTAAAAATATTAATATTTTAATATTTAAAAAAATTGAATATTAAGAAAATATATTTCTTAAAATATTTAGAAAATAAAATACAAATTTGTATTATTAAATATTAAAATACACTTAGATGTTATGCATGTTGAGACTAATGTGATAAAATCATTTGCTTTCATACATGTGTGTATATATATATATAATAAAAAAAAATACGAGGTTCACAATTTATCTTTTTTCTTTTTAAACGCTTTATTAGCTTTTGTGCCATATTTCTTTCTTTCATTCTTTTTTTTTATTGAGTCACTGTAACCAGCCAAAATAGTCAATCATCCATAAATAAAAATAGTCAATAAGTTTGTTTTGGAATTCTTGAACTTAACTTCTATTGAATTCTTCTGTTGAAAACTTTTCCAGACACATGATCTCTTAGCCTGTTGAAATATCAGCTGTGTTTAGTGAGATGTAGTGCCTGGGAGAATATAATCCTATAGCTGATCTCACTTCCTGTCTCCTCCCAGAGTTAGCCAATAAACAGCATGAGAGAATGTCAGACCTGGAAGAGGAGCCCATGACAAACACACAAGTCTCACTGTCCCACAGCAGTCCAGCCAGAGGGAGTCACGACTCTGAGTCAAAGTCCCTGAACGAACTGAACAATACGGACTCCACTCACTCTTCCCAGGACTCTCTGGACCAGAGTTCCCAGTCCCCTACAGAGGGACCGGGCGACGGTTCACCAGAGGAACACAGCTCAGAAACTCTGCCTTGGAACGGCAAAAGCGCCTGACGTCACACGGATGGTGCCAAGCCTGAATGTTTTTAATCAGAAACAGGATGATGTACATAGCATTGTCCTCATTGTATTGTAATGCTATTATACTCTCGGGCTCGGAGGGCTAATTGTGCAGACAGACGCACGGAATGTCCACAGAGTGAGACGGTAGTGTGCAGTGTTGTCATGGCGACTGTGTTATTGCTGGAGACCGACCTCTATCATCCCCTTGAGGAGGATTTAGCGAGTCCCTGAAACGTAACGCTACCTATTTGCTTCCCAAGCTTTATTCCTGTTGGTTCAATTCGGTTTTTTTTTTTGTTTTTTTTGTAAATTGTTTTCTTTTCTCTCGTTTTTTTCGTTTTGTTTGTAGACTGTCATTATTTATTAAAGATTACACAGCTACACTTTGCACCACAGTTAGTTTCAGTATTTTATTCTCGCTATACAGTCAGGCTTACCGGCTCTTTGCAGCACATTAGGTCAGAATGACTGGAGTATTTCAATTTCCAGAACAATCCATAAAGAGCTTTTTTTTTATTGTAGCATGGCACGTATAGTATGCAGCTGTAACATTTTTGTAGAACATGCTGCCTATTAAATCATGAGCCAATTTTTTAAAGGTGGAGGTACATGTCCTCAAGGGGGCGTTATTTCATTTTAACAAATCAATTCTCCAAATGAACAAAACTGTGTCCCTTTAAATCCATACAGTATTATAGCACATAGCAGTGTCTAAATAAATGATATATACATTGGCTGTGTTTAGAATGGAATACTAGCTTAATACTCACCAAATACTGTGCAGTATGTACTGTTTAAAATAGTGAAAAAGAATATTTTATGTAACAATAAACATTTTCAAATTTAATCAAATTTAAAGGAACATGCTGTGTTTTGTGTTAAAAAGTCTTAGTCCAATGTTAGAAATCGCTAATATTGCATTCGTTCGTCATGATACACTGGAAATGAAGGGGCCAAATCAAGCAATTTGGCAAATGGAGTAGATATACACTGTGCTCTGTATACATACTGTACTCTGTACTACAGAAAGAGTAATAGTATGCTTGTCTGAACACAGCCATTGTGCATTACACTGTTTTTCAGAATCTCAGAACAATCATGAGGTACTAAACATATGCTACCAAATCACTGTATCATGTTTTATAATGTTTATGTGAAAATACTGATCAATAGTTTTTTTTTTTTGCATTATATATGACATAAACTGCCAAAAACAAGATTTTTGTCATTTGTATCTCTTTTAAGGTCTGCAGTGGCTGATGTGACATCCGCTGTCTTCACCTTCACACATTTTGAAAGCACTTTCGAGCTCAGGGGTCTGTTTAATTGAAGAAAGTAAGTTTATTAAACAGAAAAAACCCAGAATACTGCATCTCATTTATCAGTCAGGGATGACAGAACACCTTTAGAATATCTGTTGAAATCAGCTCCTCAATGACTTTGTTGAAATTTAGATAAAGTATTTAGTAAAGATGAATCTAATGAAGGAAAAATTCTTTACAAAAAAGAACCATTTACATATTTTTTTTTTGCATTGATATTATTTTCATTACAATTAAGCACATTTGTCCACAAAGTCATATGATGATGCCAAAAAATAAAAAAATCACATTTTCTGGATGCAATTATATATAAGGTATATAGGGTTAGATTAAAATTTAAATTTAGAATGATACTTTACAAATGTTTCGTACAGTTTCATGTCATCCCAAAAAAAAAAAAAAAATGGTTGCATAAAAGATTTTTGGGGCCATTTAGTTTGTTTGTTCTTTTTTTTCATTATTGAGAATTGTAGAGGAGTTTCAATTGCAATGAAAATGTTATCATGCAAAAAAAAATACAAATAATAATACTAATTTCAGGATGGGGTGAAATGTACCTAGACATTTATGAGATTCTCTTTAGACTTTATAATCTATATCAAATGTGCTATTGAAGTCAACAATAAGACAGATGTACATTTTGTAGTTCATACAGTATATTTGCTGGAAATGCTTGTTCATCAAATTTACTACAGATTTATTGTTTCAGAAAAATATTAATAAGGTACTGTTAAAGAGCAGTCATATGTTCAAAAGCATTTACATTTACTAAATTTGCTCTGTCATCTTATAAAAACTTATTTTTGACTATTCTAACACATTGATGAAGGTTGATTATTTTTTGGAAAAAAAATGTGTGTGTGTGTGTGTGTGTTGCAGAAGATCTAAAATGCTCTAACCATGTTATCACGTACAGTATCAAGCTTTAACTACATGTATAATGCCCACGTTTCAGACACTCATGTCAAAGAGCTGTTGGGCTGTACAACAGCTGTGTGGGACTTCGGAGTCATGTCTGCATAAAAAGCAGCCATATACCTACAAAAATATTGCTTCTGTCAGAGAAAGTTTTATCAAAGCCTCAAGCACTTTCCACATGAGGTGATCAAAAAAAAAAAACCGTGGCAGGATGTGATTGGCTTGACAATCCTCCCCATGTATTGCTAAATCATCTGCGGCGCATGCGTTTCCTTACACTTTCATATTACAACTCATGATGAATTACAACTACATGAAAGTTAATATATTATGAAATAAATCACAATACCAGAGAATGTACGGCAGGGATAAAAAAAAGGTTTGAGAGCACTACTAAAAAAGCCTCTATTGTGCACATATATATATGCTTTATTAATAATAGTTTATAGTATCAACATTTGGACCTCTTAGTATTTTGGAATAAAATTGCATAAATGTATAAAATGGCTGTGAAATTTACTTTCAAACTATTTTACCACTGGGGTAAAAAGGGTTAAACTAAAAAACAGTTCCCAAACAATATTATAAATGACATCACTTCCTCATGAAATTCAACCAGTGTTACTCCGTCTGACTGTCTTGCCATTCCCCGCTGTTCTCTTCTTCCTCCTGGAAAAGTGAAGGGTCTGTCTGTTTTTTCAGCATCTTTATCCCTGTGAAAAGAGGAGATTTGTGCAACAGTCAGCTTTCACCTTTCCATAAAAGGTGTGACTCCTAAACCGGATTCACACAACAGCTTACTGTATGAACACTGAACCGTATTAACAGTACTGTATGAACAAACCGATGTCAATCCCCTTTGTTCTCACGCTTGACTTGACTATTACCTGGCTGTAACCATAGTGACCAGTGTTGAGGAAAGTTACTTTTAAAAGTAATGCATTACAATATTGCATTACTCCCTAAAAAAGTAACTAATTACGTTACTTAGTTACTTTTTATGGAAAGCGTTACTTTCGCGTTACTTTTTAAATATGAGCAGGGCTTGATTGTTTTTAATATAAGAAGTTCTATTTATAGCAAATATAAAAGCCCTTTCACACCAAAAAGTGTAATGAATAAACCTCAGGCTGAAGCAAAAGTAAATTCACGTCTGTACAGTAGAACCCAGGAGAAGGTTCAACACTCTTCAGCAATAAAAAAACGAATTTTTTTAAACAAGTTATTTTTGCTTATTAGTATGGTTGAACTGGATCATCAAAGGTCAGCAGCAAAGACATTGGTTGTGACATTGACTAAATGAGACGATGACGTCGATAACAGTATTTTGTAAGTTGACGCGACACGATTGCAGCCGTCAAATTTTAGTTAACCAAAGTTTAGCAAGCGTATCATTTGAGAATATAAAACTGACGGGAGCAGATCAGACAGCTCACGCCTCCAGTCTGTGAGTTACCGAAACTACCGAAACTAATTTAAATGAGCGACATTGCATGGCTATGTGATAGAAAACTAGCTGTCCGGCGGAGGGTGAACCAAGGCTGAAAGTAGCCTAATGGTACTGTAATCTATTAACAACTCACATCACAAACCCGTCATTTTAGGTAAGTAGCTACCAGATATGGGTGTCATGTCATAAAGTATTTTTAAAGGGGTCCTATTATGCTTTTTCACTTTTTGAATTTTAGTCAGTGTGTAGTGTGTATGTTTGGGCATAAAAAAGATCTTCAAATTTACAAATCTCAAAGTCCACTCCAAAGGGAGATCTTTTGTTTTTTTAAATTCCCTTTTCAAGAACTACAAGGAACGGCTCGTTTGGACTACAGCGTTTGTTTTCCAGGGTTTGTGACAACACAAAGCGGCTCATTAAAATATCATTAAAATAATTCCCGCCTACGGAAATTCTAATGGTTGGGGGGTGGGGAGGGGCGAGGTCGTGGTGCATCAGACAAGACGACGAGGAAGAAGAAGTGCTGCTGTAGCCTCAAGTTTTCGCAAGTTATTACACATGCACCTGAATAATTATGTATGTAAATATGTATGTTACAATTATGAAAACGTTTTTATAATAAATAGCTGACAGTACAATACTGGACAATGATATAATCTGCAGAATTTGCACTTCAATTATGAGACTACAGTGTTTACCATACGTTGAGTGCGGGTGTTTTTATATCACTGTATTTCTGAAGGAAACCGACTGTCTTCAGAAATTTAATCTGGCATGTAATGTCTGATAAAGCAGTGTTTTTTTGAGCAGAGCGCTGCTTTGTGTACAGCCGTTACCGGGGAAACCTTGATCTCTACCACTCCAACAGTGCCACCTGCAGGCAGAGAATGAGTTTGCATATATATGCCGCCTGGGAAACACTGGACTATGGTATAAATAAATTAACCGGAGCAGACAGAACTTGCTGATTTGGCAAGGGGCGGGGCAGTACTGAAACACTGTCTAAGCTGTTCGCCAATCACAACGCACTGGGACAGCTAACCAATCACATTGCATTTTGTTTTTCGGAAGGCGGGCCTTCATCAAACCCTGAACTAATTGAGCCGTTTGTGCCAGGATGGGGAGAAAGGTATTGTAATAATGTAAATTATGTAAAAAATAATGCGTTTTTCGAACCACCAAGCATGAGAGCATGTTCTAGGACACCCCCAAAACAAATTCAAGACATTGTAAAAGAGCATAATAAGACCCCTTTAATACGACTGAATTTGTATTTAACCTGATCACAATTTAATAAAAACATTGTAAGTTAGTATAACTCTTTAATTTCCACGGTTATTCAAACAGCGAATAAATTAAATAGAGAAAGCGAGCAAAGATTTACAAACCCGATTCCAAAAAAGTTGGGACACTGAAATGTATTAAATTATTACATTACTAAGAGTAATATGGGTAATGATACCCACTTAACTTTATATTTGAAACGCATTTTAACATTCAATACACATGAATTGCAACTTATTAGGTTATATTTTTGTTTAAACATGGATAAAATATGTTTACTGTAGTGGTATCTATGGAAATCTGCAAATACTATAGTTGAACTACTATGATTAGTTATGTCTTGCATCATTTGCGTGTGTTCAAGAAAATAGTTCTATCCTACACAATTATTCACTAACATAGATTATTCGTCCAATTCAATACATATTGTACGCATTAATTTTTTGTTAAATAAACAAAATCACTGGTAAAAAAAAACACCTTAGAATCGATATTTTTTATTTGAGTATGGATACTTTCGATACTCGCATCAGTACCGATATATCGATACTTCAGGATCGATACGCCCATCCCTACTGTTGGCCAATTAATGTGACGTGACAGACCGCTGTAGCGCCTCAAGCGCCACGTGAATCGATAAGCTCTTCCTCTTTACTAGTTATAGCACAAAATAAACATGAATGAACATCAGAAGGTATATTATTCAAGTACACCGATGTTAATCTACTCTCCTGTTTAGTTTGTTTGTCGGACAAAAATGGCAGATTTGGCATTATGATTGGTTAGATCGCCTGTCAATCAAATTCCAGTCAGCGAGCGCACATACTAAACAAAACGAGACAGGGGTAGCTGCCAGAGATTGTCTTATTATTGGGAGGTTAGGGTTAGGTATTACTTACTATTGGAGTTGTGCGACACTCAATCGCCATTTATGGATGCCATAGGAATGAATGAGAAGTGCTGTAAGCTAAAACCCACCTGTCCCAAAAAGTCAGTGACTTCTCTTATAAAACGGCATTTTTTTCCGTGTAAACTCTAAAAATAGTTAAAGCCAAAACTTGCTTAGTGTAAAACATGTTGGAGATTAGCCACTAGGCTGTCAATTCATTAAATTATAAGCTGTTTCCTGTAAAAAGCTGTTTATTCAGAGTAGTGAAGCCTCTCCTCCATTGACATCCATTAAAAAAAAAAAACAGCCTCTGGTCTCCTTTCCCACGTACTGGCAAACCGGAAGTGTTAGCATTACCCGTTACACTTTTTTGGTTAAAGGTTGCAGGCTTGCCTTCTAGTGACTTTGGTAGCTGCAGCCTGGAGTAATGGACGTGCCGAAAGGTGAATCAGTACAACAGAAACTAACCCTAACCCAGCTCTAACCCTACCCTCTCATCCTGACAGACAGCTTTGTTGATCAATCATGAAGACCTTTCTCCACGTCCATTGCTCCAGCTGACACACTGACTAATGTGAACGGCTCTGATTTATAAATGCAATGAAATTGTGTGTGATTGGTTATAATGCGCAACATTGTATAAACGCGTAAAAAAAAATATAATGCAACATTAGCAGATCTAAACTTAATGCATCAGTCAACACTTTTCATTTCATTTTCATTTTATTTGCGACAGCCGTAATGGATATAGTTTAATTGTGCAGGGGCATTTTTGTCCCAAACATTATTTTCCTAACCGTGGCCAGGGGAAGGCCTTGCCCAGCCTTACACACGCTCCGCTTATGTGTCCAACAGTTCTGGGGTAACACAGCTGAGGTTTGCTTAAAATTTAAAAGCACAACAGTTCAAAAGTTTGGGGCAAGAAAGATTTTTTAAATACTTTAATAGAGCACAGATGCATTAAATGTATCAAAAGTGACAGTAAAGATGTACAATGTCACAAACGATTTCTGTTTCAAGTAAATGCTGTTCTTTTGAACTTTCTATTCATCAGAGAATCGTGAAAGAAAATGTATCATAGTTTCCACAAAAATATTTAGCAGCACAGCTGTTTTCAACATTGATAATAATAAGAAATGTTTAAAAAAAAAAAAAAGTGAAAGTGCCATGGCCAAGTATGGTGACCCACATTTATGCTGCGGCGCCCGGGGAGCAGTTGGGGGTTCGGTGCCTTGCTCAAGGGAACCTCAGCCATGGTACTGAAGGTGGGAGAGAGGAGAGCGCTGTACATTCCCTCTCCCCACCTACAATCCCTGCCGGTGCGAGACTTGAACCCACAACCTTTGGGTTATGAGTCCGACTCTCTAACCATTAAGCCACAACTTCCCCTTATTCTTTTGAATTTCTGGAGGATCATGTGACACTGAAGACTGGAGTAATAATGCTGAAAATTTAGCTTTGCATCACAGGAATAAATGACATTATCAAATGTATTAATAATAAGCTGTAATAATATTTCACAATATTACTGTTTTTCCCCATATTTTTAATCAAAGTTTAAGTCAAAGTTCACAAACGTTCATATGCATATGAATGGTAGTTAATAGAACAAAAGACTGACATAAACCAATGGACCAACAAATTAATATAATATGCAAATCGTTGTGAAAGCT